TTTTTTTCAACTAGACCATGAGGCCTGAGCCTGCTTATTCTCCTATAGCATCTAGGCCAGGGTTTCACATGTGGTGATAAAAGTGACAGAAACAAAGACAGCTTACATTACAGCAGACTTTCTGAGGGCCAGCACTTTCTGCATGTGAACTGACAGGTTCGTGGAGAAATAGTTGAGTGTTTGGGTGTTCTAGATGTATTTGAACTCAGACTAAACCTCCAGGGAAGGGGACAGTAAGGAAAGGTCACCCCGACACATACTCAGACAATGATTCTGGGTCAAGGCTGATCAGGGAAGAAGATGAGTTTTCTAGAGGAAGCCCTGATACACAGGGGAATGAGGATGGCCACCACCTGGGAAGCAAAGGAGAAGAAGCAGAACGGAGAGGGATGGAGAGGCCCTGGATTTGATGGCAACAGAGGCCTTGAGCCAGCCCATGCGGGTGGATTCACTCCCTTTCCTGCCTGGCAGGGCTTGGGCACTGGAAACAAGGCCTGGCTCCTGGCAGGGCCTTAGCTGAGGTGTCCTTCCCACATTGGGTCCCTGCAGGATGGCCCGAGCCTCCTGAGGGCAGCAGGACAAGTGCACAGCCGCCACCTCCATCCATGCTACCAGGGTCCCACCCCTGCTGACTCCGTGCCACCCCCTCCCATACTGGAAAGACTCCAGATGAGCATCTGGGCCATGCGGGGATGAAGGTGCTGAGCGTGCTGAAGGGCAGCAGCCAGGGCAAGAGGCCTAATGGAGGCCAATCCCTGGGCCTGCTCTCTCCTCTGGTCATCATTAGCTGCTCAGAATCTTTCTCATGTTTCAACACTCTGCAAAGTAGACAGGGGTGGAGTTCTGTGCAGTTGCACCCCAGCGTTCATGTAAAAGGCAGCCTGTGGGCCACCTCGTGTTCTAAACCTGTGGCCTAGTATTTGGGGGTCTAGGAGGAGACACCATCTACATGTTGAAAACAGAGGAGTCCTGAGGGTGCCTCATGGGCTTCCATACCAATATATGTGCCAGCCCAGAGGACTAGAATGAAATTCCACATCTCCAGCTAGAAGCACCTCCTTACCATTGCCAGACTGTAATAATCAGGCCTCAGCATCCACTAATGAAATGTTTAGATTCCTATTTTTTTAATTAATTCATTTTTTTTCCATACATGAAAGAGAGAAAAGCACTCCCACCAAGGCTCTGACACTGTGATACACTCCCAGTTTTAGCGAGCCCAGATCGTGAGCATATGGCGTAACCAGGGAGGTCCCCGGTCACAAACTCAGAGCCTTCCCACATGGGAGCATGCCACTATCCACTGTGCCTCTGTCCCGACCCTGTTTGGACTCTTAAGCACAGAAAAAAGAAGAAGGAAAAAGGACTTTAGGTTTTTGGGGACAGAAGCTAAAAATGTCAGCCCTTTAATCAAAGGGTCCACATCTGATTAGAAGAATTACCACCTAAAGAGCCGACCAGTGTCTAGGAAGCACCGTGGGATCATGGCCAGCTCTGCTGAATCTGAACATGCCCCACAGTAAATGCAGTTGCTTCCCATGCAGTTGCTGACAAAAGGGGAAGGGGGAAGGAGGGCAGCAGGTGGTGTGGTGGTTAAGGTACTAGACTCCCCCATTGCTCACCATGGTTCCAGTCCCAGATCTGGTGACTTGAAAATCATGCTGGATACATATACATGCATGCCCAACATCCCAAGAGGAGAATGGAGAAGGGATTGTGATGTGGCCATCCACCCCCCCAGGGGGGGAATTTCTCACTTTCTGTCTTTCTCTGGCAAGAGCATGTGCCCTATTGCAAAACCTTTACTTAAAAAAAAAAAGAAAATAAAAGAAAAGAAAAAGAAAAAGAAAAAGGGTACAGGTGGTGGCCCCTGAAACTTTGCCCAGACTCCCAGAATGAACAAATGCCATTTTAATTTTACATTTATTTCAGATTCGTATAGTTAGTAATGGTACTTTTCTTCTTCTGGGAAGTCACTTTTTAAATTTCAGATAGACCATTGGAGTCCTTTACCTCAGCTTCCCAAGCTGCTGGGATCACAGTTGTGCACCACGGCCCAGCTTTGGGATGGACCGAGAATGGACCTGGGGCCTCTCGGGTGGCCTGAGCCTGTAACAGCATCACTCAGCACACGTTACTGCCGTGGGCCCTCGGAAGTCTCATTTAGATGACTGCCACAGAATTTCTCACGTATGACTCAAACATTCATCATAGAGTAGAGTCTGTCTAAGAAGCAGTCCCTTAAGGATAGGGACTGTCTGCCTTGTCCTTGAATTCCCTGCCTCCACCCAGGGCCTGGCATCTGATGGTTGTACAGTAAACATTTGCTGAATGAATGAACAGATGAATAAAGGATCTGAACTCCTAATACTAAAATAGCCATGAAGTAGGCAGGAATTTGCTCCAAGCCTCAGGAACTGCCAGGATTATACCCTTGAGGCTGTCCTGGCTGAGGTCCTCTTTGTGTTGTTAAGTCGGATATTTAATAATTTAAAAAGCCAGCCCTTCCACAGTTTGGGCTCAGTTGAGCACGCATTTGTCCCCACAGGGTTGACATTCCCTCTGGCTGGGCCACCCCAAGTCTGCCCCGGCTGCGACCTGCCCCTGCACAGCCTCCCCAGGGACCGCCCGCAGCCCCAGGCCCAGCACACTGCCATGTCAGCTCCTCCCCCGAACCTTTGGAGTCCAGGAGCAGATTGCTGAAACGTTCGCAGAACCAGACAGGTGGAGGGTTTGTTCCTCCTCCTTTCCCTCTGTTTCCATCATGTTTCTGTTTCTAATTTCCTGCCACTCTTCTCTTCTTTCTTTCTCCCTTCTCCTGTTAATTCCCCTTTCTCTGTGCTAGCCCTGCTCCTGCCCTCTCTCTAGCATCTTATGCAAGCCTCCGCAGCCCTAATCTGGAGGAATCAAGAACCTTTGTGTGCACAGAGGTGCTAAGAAGTACCCCTCCTGACATAGTACACTGTGGGCCCAGAGCTTGGTTTGAGCTGATGCTGCTTTGGGGTGGGGGTGTCATGTCAACCTCTTGTGGCTGGAAATCGAGGACTCCCACCTGCATTCTGGAGGTAGAAGGTAGCGTAATGCAATGGGGAGTCCCAGCCCACTGATCCCTGGCTCATGGGTCTCCTCTACCTACCAGGAACTCCTGCAGGGCAGGCCCTGTGTTCTGCCTTTATGTGTCATCCAGCTTAGCATTGGCCTGCTAATAGGAATCAGATAAATGTCTGTACAGTCAGCCCTAGGTCCTAGGAATGGAGAGGTGAGCAAGACAGACTTCTCTGATCTCAAGGAGTCAAAGTCTTCCAAGAGACACATGCCTTCAAGTAATGCTTAGAAAAGCAAATGCAGGTGACAGGGTATAAGGGGAGACCCATGCAGGTGTTTGGGATCAGGAAATGCTCTCCTGAAAAGTGTGGTTTACACAATTCTTAAAGGATGAATAAGACTTAAGTTAAGGGGACAGGATGGAGTGGAGGGGCCAACAGTGAGCATTCCAGGCAGAGGGAATGACTGTTGGATGGATGAATGGATGGGTGGATGAATGGATGGATGGACGGACGGATGGATGGACAGATGGATGGACAGATGGGCAAATGTGGCATTAAAATCTGAGCTTGAAGGCACAGCAGAGCATGGAGCATTCTCACTGGTACAGAGAAACAGGAGGCTGAGTTAGGGGCATCTTGGTACTGTGTGCAGAGTGTGGTGGCGGTGGAGCCATTTCTTTACTTCATTCCCATGGCATGTGGACTCATGTTGCTGAAGGGCTGTGCTTTGATGGCAAATGCTCCCAGGAAGGGGATGAAATGAACACATTGACCTCCTCTGCCAGGCACGGGGGCAGCTCTGGAGCCCCACATCACGGTGACTCTGCCAACCTCAGGCACCTCACCCACAACTCTTCTCCCCACCAGATGAGCGTGAAGTTGTTCAAAAGAAGACTTTCACAAAATGGGTGAACTCGCATCTGGCCCGCGTCTCCTGCCGCATCACCGATCTCTACAAGGACCTGCGGGATGGGCGGATGCTCATCAAGCTGCTGGAGGTGCTCTCTGGAGAGATGCTGGTGAGGTCTCTTTCCATGCTGTGACCCCCTTCCCTGGGCCCTATGGCTGGTACCATAAGCCCCTCCTCAAAAAACACATGGTTTGGCGATAGCTCAAGTTCTTGTGGTTTTCTAAGGTGTCTCCCTCTTCCCTTAGGAGGTTCCTGTGTTTACAGTGTGAGGTGTCCATGTGGCTGACTGGGTCCTCTGACCTCTTGCCACAACTTCCTATCTCCCTCTAACCTCTCCCACTCCACCCCCATGCTTCCCCTGAAGTTATGCAGGCCTCGGACTTCTCAGTGGGGTGGGGGCACCTAAAGAAGTCCTGCAGTGGCCCAACCCTCAGCCTCCTCACGTGGGCCAAGATGTGTGGGCTGCTGGAGAAACTTGCATCCCTCTTGGAACCATGGAAGATATTTTCTGTGTGTGTTTTACCACTCTTGTTGGTGGAAGTAGAATAGCAGCCCTCTAGTTATAAGTCACCCACAGCACTGTCACCCAAAAAGAGAAGTAGCTGAAGGTTCCTTTTTTGCTCAGTTACATCCTTTGTGACCTAGGGCCTATCAAACAGGGTCCTGTTTACGTCCCTTTTCCCCATGTCTAAAATGATACCTGTACCAGAGGAAGTACTCTGAGGTCTTCGGGGTTTCCGTACAGTGGGACCATGTTCTTTGGTTGCCATTTTGACTCCAGGCTGAAATTCTGCCTCTGGCCCTGAACTGGAAGTCCACTAGAGAGAATTACCACTGGGAACTCTTCCAATGAGGCAGTTTCTTGCCAATAACGGTCCCCTTGAGTTTTAGCTGGGGACTTCCAGGGGAGGGAGGAGGTGGGTTGGCAGGGATGGATTTGTTATCTGCCACCAAGCTAAAAACCACTTTTATCACCAGCAGCAAATAGCTCTTAGAACTGTGCCTGGCACATCATACGTGCTCAGTTAACTGCCTATCGTGTTCCTGCATTTGAAGGCTATTTGTCACCCACTCAGAAGTCTCTGTTCAGACCCAGAAGGGGACTAATGCAACTTGGCTGCAGAGCTCTGGATGCAAAAGGGAGGGAACCTCTGAACTTTGGTGAAAGAAAGGAGTTGAGAAATGTTAAGGAGTGGCCATAAAACTTGGAGTTTGGCCAGGCAGGTGGAGGATAGGGGTCAAGAGCTGATGACAGGAGCTGGTCAGGCTCTCACCACATCTGGGTAACTGTGAGGCCCCTCCATGCCCTCCTCCAGCCAAAGCCCACGAAGGGGAAGATGCGCATCCACTGCCTGGAGAATGTGGACAAGGCCCTGCAGTTCCTGAAGGAGCAGCGCGTGCACCTGGAGAACATGGGATCCCATGACATCGTGGATGGCAACCACCGCCTGGTCCTGGGCCTCATCTGGACCATCATCCTCCGCTTCCAGGTGTGGTTCTGGAGACAGGAAATCAAGGGGGCCTCTCAGAGTCTGACATCTTGAGAATTTTATAAAAGATTGCACAGAGAGTATTTGTACACAAACTGGGAGGCTAGAAACCTATCCTGGGGGACAGTGCTGGCAGGAAGGAGAAACTGTCCTCTGTGTCACCACAAATCGCTGAAGCTCAGGGCCAGCTGCTCAGTCAGTGGTGTAGTCTCTAGTGGGGGAAGGTGGAAACGTGATTTGCTGGGCTAGAAGATCTGCTTTTTATCCCCTTTCCCCCATGGATGTAACTTCTTGAATAATTGGATCTAAAAATTGCAAAAATAATACAAAGGATCTGCTTTTATATCTTTAAATAAGAAACATTTCTCTTACCCTGAAATTCAAGGTCCAGATTATTCAGAAGGATATTTCCAAAGGGTGAGGGGAGGAAATGTCCCCCCACCTGCTAGTTTGGAGAACAGAGAAGAGGTATGAGCAGGAAGGAAGAAGACAGCACACGACTCACAGATTAGGGACCTCACCCAAGTGCTCCTGGAGGTCCTGTCCCACTCTCCATGAATGTGTGTGACCGAACAGTAATAAGACAGGCTTGAGAAGAAAGAAAGTGCAGAGGAATTTTTTTTAAGTCTCCTTTTTTTTTTTTTTTTTTTACATTCAATCATTCTATATCTTTTGGGGGGGGGGGGTTTTGTTTGTTTGTTTGTTTTTTGCTATAGAGCGTGTGCGCTCACCAGACAGACAGAGAGAGACAGAGAGATAGAAAGTAAGAAATCACTGCCCCGGAAGATGGCCACACCGCAGTCCTTTCTCCTCCATTCTCCTCTCGGGATCTTGGGCATGCACACACACGTGCCCGGCGTGAGTTTAAGCCACCAGGTCCGGGACTCAAACCGTGGTCAACTACATGGGAGTCCAGCGACATAGCCATTATGCTAACTGGTCTCACTCTATAGCTTTACAACATAGAAAATGAGTTTTCCCAGCATGAATACACTGCATATTAGTCCAGTCAAAGATATTGTCATACACGTCATCATCAACAGAAAACGCTTTATTTTTGTGTCCATTAAATGTTTTGCTTTGTGCTTTTTCCCTTGTTTCCCTCCACATTACCCACCCTCCTCTCACACTGTCTCTGGTACCCACAGTTGCTTCCCATGCTTTTATACCTTTCAATCTTTCCATTTCTGTCATAGAGTACAGACATTCGGTATGTATCACGTGGGGACATACGATGACTCTCTTTCATAGTCTGGCTTGCTTCATTTAGCAGTAAATCTTCCATATTCATCTACTTTCTATAAAATGTCAGAGTCTCATTGTTCTTTTTGTGGCTGTGTAGTATTCCATAGTGTTTATGTGCCATACTTTTTCAATCCATTTAGCTGTTCTTGAATGTTTGTATTGATTCCATGTCTTAGCAATTGTGAATAAGGCTGAAATAAACATGGATGTGCTAATGAAATTACACCACCACCCAAATTCATGTTGTTCTCCAGCTTCACAGGGCATTTTACCTCCAGAGGAGGAGTCAGGATGTCATGTTGATTCTCAGAGTCCTAGTCGAGTTATGCAAATAGAGTTGTCTCATTTGACATGTGGAAGCAGCCCCTGTGCCTTTCTGGCTGACCAAGACAGGGAAGCAGGGCCCTGAGAACCAGTGTCTCTGGAGCTGCAGACGGAGGGCTACAGAGAAGGGAAGAGGGGTGGAGCATCCCAGGGAAGGCAGGAAGACGCAGATCCAGGAGCAGATCTACTTTATCTCCCTCTTGCTCTACCTCTTCTAGATTCAGGACATCGTTGTCCAAACTCAGGAAGGCCGGGAGACGCGCTCAGCCAAGGATGCATTGCTACTGTGGTGTCAGATGAAGACAGCAGGGTATGCCCTGGGAGCCAGCCATGACCATACCCTTCACTCCCCAAAGTGCTGCCATTCCCAAGGGACACTATACATCACCCAGAACTAGAGCTGCTTCGGTGTAATTGATATGGTGTCTGTCCTGACCTGATTCTTGGAGACCTGGAACATGGAGTTCTTTTCCAGAGTTGTCTGCAGTCAGTCTGTGGGTCTGTTTGGTATACAAATTCACATCTTTTGGGGGAGCCTCCTTTTGTGACTTTCCTCCTGACATCTTGTATTGAAGTAGCTCAGGAAGGGACAGGTCCATTCTTGTCCTGCTATAGTGGCCCTCAGTTCATGCACTTGTTTGGGACTGCAAAAAATTCTGTTCCTTGGGGTTGTTGCTTGTTTCTTCCATAAGAGAGAGAGAAAGAGAGGGAAAGAAAGAGAGGCATCCCCAGTGGGGCCTTCACACAGCAATTTATCCCCCTCCATCTGCATCCAGCCAGGGTTATGGGCCTGCTCATGCAAGCCTGGTGTGTACAGGGAGACCCTGGGACATGGCCTGGAACCTTCTCATGTGGCTTCAGCATCGTGGAGCATCGTATCACTGGTGTGCTACCGCAGCTGGCCATGATGTCTTAGGTCTTGATGTTTCTCTTGGCTACAGCTACCCTCATGTCAACGTCACCAACTTCACGTCCAGCTGGAAGGATGGCCTGGCCTTCAATGCCCTGATACACAAACACCGGTAAGAGGGAGGAGAGGACTGTGGGTATAGACCCTGGCAGAATCCCTGGGGTACTCTGGGCCCATTGTACTGAACATGGAAGTCACAGAGAAGTTCCTTAACCTTTCTCCCTTGATATCCCATGTCTGCTGACCACTTATCTCCCTGCTAGTGCTCACAGCTTTCCCCTCCCCTACTCCCATCTCTGTACTCACTTCTGCCCAACCACCTCCCAGCATTTGCCCCGTGTCTGGGCTTCATGCTGGAGCTGCCCTGTTGCCCTGCCAACAGGCATGCCGTGGTCATGCCCTTTTAATAGTCTGGCTTCATCCCCAGGCCCGACCTGATTGACTTTGATAAGCTGAAAGACTCCAATGCCCGACACAACCTGGAGCATGCGTTTGATGTGGCCGAGCGTCAGCTGGGGATCATCCCACTCCTAGACCCCGAAGGTGAGCCACACCCACTGACCAGCCTTTCACTGCAGCTATGGGAGATGGTGCCCACCGTGCTGGAGGGAGCTCAAGCTGACAGGGCTCCTGGGGGCTGTGGGTGCAGTGAGGGGACAGTGGCTGGGCCAGGGCTCTGCTTAGGACTGGCTCTTCCGCTCCAAATTGGTTCCCAGAACCTTGCCTGACCTGCATAGAGGTCTGTTGTAGACGTTGGATCCCTTTGCTTTTTTCTTTCATAATTTGTGGTCCATGTGTGGCTTTCATCACTCTGTCAAACCTCAGAGCTTTTGCTTTCTTTCATCCTTGTCAAGTTAGTTGTCGCTCGTAGTTGAACTTACAAACCCTCTTCCCTGAATTGTCTGGCTTCCAGTTTGATCCAGAGAGTATACCCTTTCCCCGACAGATGTCTTCACAGAAAATCCCGATGAGAAATCCATCATCACCTACGTGGTGGCGTTTTACCACTACTTCTCCAAGATGAAGGTGCTGGCGGTGGAGGGCAAACGCGTTGGCAAGGTACGTCACTGTTTCATAACCCGTGTCGCCCTCTCTGCTTACCACATCCAGGTCTGGACTGAGAGGCTCCCGTTCCATCCTAGGAGCTCGGTGTCTGGGCTCCCAGCCACAGGGTGGGGTGCAGATCACCCAACTCCCAGTTTCCTCAGGGCCCTGTGGATGGCTCTCAAGCTGAATTATGGGCACCGCCTCGACAGGTGCCACAGCCTGCGGCTCTGAGCCCGTCTGGCATGGGAGACTCATGTCTCATGAAGACTCCTATAGAAATCAATGTGGGCTTTTCCTTGGTTTGTTTCTTGTGGTATCAGACCTCTCCGGCTCCCACAAGGCACCAGGACCCCACCTCTCTGTACAGACCCCAGGCAGGATTCCTTTGCCCTGCTAGGTCACTAGCTCTTCCAGGGTAGAGACCGTTTCTCATTCATCTTTATGTGCCTTGTGCTTAGCAGAGACAGCACTCAAATCCTGATAAATATTTTAAGTAAACGATACCCTGGTATCATTACTCCTGTGGCTGCTGTCCTGGCACAGTGAGTTTACCCACCTTTTATAGGTGAGGGGCTGGGCTGTTCCCAGTTCCAGGCAAGGCCACCTTCCACTGGTCTTGCAGTACAGGGGGAGGGCTTCACTCACTTCCAGTCCACTCATTCTGCCTTCACCAGAGTCTTGGGATCAGGGAGCAAACCCAACCTGAGAGGCTCCAGGGCTTACAAGGTGGGAGCCCTGATCAGGGCCCCTAGATCATGGTCTTTGTTGGTGGCTTTATTAATAGCCTCACCCTTGTGATGAGAGGAGTAATGAGCTGATTCCTTAGGTCATTGACCATGCCATTGAGACAGAGAAGATGATTGAAAAGTACAGTGGGCTCGCCTCGGACCTGCTCACCTGGATCGAGCAGACCATCACTGTCCTGAACAGCCGTAAGTTCGCCAACTCACTGACCGGTGTCCAGCAGCAGCTGCAGGCCTTCAGCACCTACCGCACTGTGGAGAAGCCACCCAAGTAAGGGCCCTGGTACTCAGCGGGGGGAGGTCGTCAGAGAAATCGATTGCTGGAGGTAGAGCCAAGCTCTGGGCCTTTTAAAGTATATCCCTGAGACGTATCTTTGAGGTTAGAGAGCTGCAGATGTCACCTCCTCACCACCCTGCTCCCAGGTATTGATGAGAAACCCCAACTCACAGCCAACGAAAGAGTTTTCCCAGATTCCTGGGAGGAAATGTCAGGTTTCTGGGTCTCTTTGTTCTAGAAAGCTCCTCTCTCTCTGCACTGAGTGATAGGTTTATTTTCTGGTGGTGACTTCCATATTCTCAGGCCCTGAGCGCTCTGTGTGGGGCCTTGCAGACCAAGTACATGCTGTTTTTTTCTTTCCCATCTGTCATTGCTCAGCAGTGAAACACTAAGCCTGCTTTTCTGGATCTCTGCCCCACCTTTGGGTGCAGGGTCTGTGCACATATGCACGCACACATGTCTGTACCCAGTCATGCACACATGTGAGCATGTACATATAACCATACATGTACATACCTGTGTGCACAACCATTCAGGTACGTACACACAGACATGCACATGCACATCCACATTCAGTCACACAGGCACACACACAACCATGCACACATACATAGGCATGCGCACGCACATACAAGCATGCCCATATGCATACGTGCACACACACAGTATTCCAGTTTGTCTGCCGTTAGTGTCTTCAGCATCTCTGAAACAAGTTTCTAGCTTATTGGCAGTATCTCCTGTTTTGTTCCTCTCCTCCCATCTCCCACACTCTCCATTCATGACTCTCAGACAAGGAAAGGTGAGACACTGAGTCTAGGATGTACTATAAACAAGTATCTGGTTTCTGGCTTGACACTAACGCACTTTGAAAGTCCTACATTCAACACAGTTAACCACCTCTGCGAGTCTACCTGGCACTGCACACAGAGGTGTTATCTCTTGCTGTGTAGACAGCGCTTCAAGGCCACAGCCCTCTTAAGTGCCCAGGAGCACCAAGATCTATTACGCTGGCCATAGGTTGGGGACCTTGCATTCAGCCAGTCCTTGACTGCCATGGCAAAGGTGTAGAAGTGGGTAGACACTTGGGTCCGTGCAGAAACGTGAAGGTTGCTGTTACCTAGAGCTTGGACCCCAGTCCCCCACTCTGCTGCCTGTTACTGTCTCCTACGCCTTCAGTCCTTCCAGAGCCTAGCCCTTCTTGCCCTCTTGGAAACATGTGGCCTGCCATACGCATCAGGAACCCAGCCCGTTAGGACTCAGGTGACAGCTGCATTCTTAGTTCGTTCTCATGTGCCTAATGCCGCTCATAAGGCTTCACTGACTCACTCCATAAAACACTGGCTAGAGAGCTAGCTGGCTTGTCTCATTTGCAGAACAGAGAAGGGTTTCTTTTTAACAATTAGAAAAATGGTACTTATAGGAGTTACTGGAATACTCCAGTTAGCCATTCTCCTGAGGAAGCAAATGACAGTTGCCATGGCAGCCATTGTGTTCTCTGATTTGTACTGGGAAACCCCGTTAGGTCTCAGCTGTAGAGAATGATAGGTGTCGTAACAGGCAAAACTAATCTATAGGTTTTCTTTAACTTATCTTTGTGTTGAAGGAAAATAAGCTTTACTGTCCAGGCTCCAAGATGTCAGGGCTCTCTGTTGACTTCAGCAAAAGATTCGGCCATGGGGCTCTTTATAGCTCTGTTGTTTTGTTTTGTCTCTTCCCTACAGGTTTCAGGAGAAGGGGAACCTGGAAGTCCTACTTTTTACCATTCAGTCCCGGATGAGAGCCAATAATCAGAAAGTGTACACACCCCACGATGGGAAATTAGTATCTGACATCAACCGGGTATAGCACGTTTTCCATTATATGATGCTAATGGGTGATGAGCTCTTGATAAGGGCACTGGGAATGGCCACTGGTCAAAGGTAAACCAAGCTACTTTCTCTGTGATATTATTTAGCTGGCTATTTGGGAGAGCTATCAGAATCTGGTTCTAAGAGATCAAACTCTACACATCTCCTTCAATTCAACCCCTTGTTTGGAGGCCCAAAGTCCATTTTTGAAGGCAGTTTTATAGACTATCCTTTCAAGAGGATAGAGCTTGTCTTTGAATATGGAACAATAACTCTTGGGTCCTTGGGAGAGTCATGATGCATTTTTGCATAGAAAAACACAGGAAAATGCATCATGACTTTCCTGACTACCTGATACTTACAACAAAAGGGAAATTCCGTATGATGTTTCAGGGTTTGGAGACTAGACACCCCCTGGAAGTTCTAGTAGATCGAAGGTAGACACTTAGTCAGTACAAGTTTACTGAGCATCCAGAGAGGTAAAAAAAACATATTAGGGGCCAGCAGATGACGTGGTGATTGAAGTGGCTGGATCTCATATGGCAGACGGTGCAGTTCGAGTCCTGGACACTGCAGTTTGAAAACTCACCAGGCGAGTGTGCACGTGTGCCCAAAATCCTGAGAGAAGAATGGAGGAGAAGGGATTGTGCTGTGGCTATACCCTTGAGAATGATTTCTCACTTTCCCTCCCTCCCTCCATCTCTGTCTGTTTTCTGCAAGCACACACACCCTATAGCAATATATAAAAAACAAAACCATATTACGCCAAGAATCTGAGGCAGGATTAGGGGAGCAGGGAAGTGGGAAGGCATAACCCTTCCAGTGCTCCCTGCATCTTTGGTTGGTCCAGGCATGAAAACCAAAAGGCTGTTTCTGATCTTTAATCTGCCACTACCTCACCCAAGAGCATCCACCTCTGTTTCCTGAAATAACTCAGCATCAGAAAGAGGTGGAGCCCCACAGCCCAGGTGTTTCTCCTGTACCCCCAAGAACTCTTGCTTCACCCCTGTGCAGGCCTGGGAAAGCCTAGAGGAAGCTGAGTATCGGCGGGAGCTGGCCCTGAGAAATGAGCTCATTCGGCAGGAGAAGCTAGAGCAGTTGGCCCGGCGCTTTGACCGAAAGGCCGCCATGAGAGAGACGTGGCTCAATGAAAACCAGCGCCTGGTGGCCCAGGTAATGGGGACACACTGGGGTCAACTAGAGGGGAAGTTCTTCAGCATCCCTAGCTCTCAACCGGGCTAGAGCCTGAGTTGGTGTTTTAGCAGCAGCTGGATAAGCTTTTCCACGTGCTTGCAGCCCAGCTCGCCGTGATTGGGTGGATCAGGATTTGCAACGGAGGAAGCACTCTCCAGGATGTATTGTCTTATTTTTAGGAAAGAGTTTCACAGTCTAGAACTCACCCCAGTTGTCACATGTGGGTCAGTAGCATGAACCACAGCTGAGGTCTGAGTTGATATTAAATGATGGTTCTCCAGGGATACAGCAAAACCACAGAGTGCCCCTTGTCTGTGTCAGACGTGCCTTTTGGACTCCAGCCTCCAGGACTGTGACATATTGCACTAGCTAAGGATTGACCCCAGGGCTGATCCTCCATCAGAGCATCTGTTCCCTCCCACTTAGAGCTTGGAATCAAATTAAATTCTGTCCAGAAAGGGGGTAGCGAGTGTTCTGAGAGCACTGGAGAGCATGCATGCTTCCCAGATAGCGCGTGGGCAAAAACCATCAGTTTGCAGCTGCCTGGTTTCTGAGTGAGAAGCAGCCTCTGCCTCCCAGAGTCAGGCAGGTCCACTCAAGGCAGGGCGGAGAGTGCCAGCTGGTCCCCAGAGGGCTCTGTTAGCAACACACATGTAGCGTTACCCACACGTGTGGCACAGGGAGTAAAATCGTGAGCTGCTTTGAGAGGTTCTCAGGAGACATTTAATTTTTAAGATGTTGTTCTGATAAGATAGGCTGAATAAAGACTGCAGAACTAATTCCTTGGGAATGGACCGGGACCTGCCATCTCTCTCTGAGGACAATCCTGGGGGAGTCTGGCTGAGCTGCCTGTTCTCTCCTTGTGGGGCAGGATAACTTCGGATATGACCTGGCAGCTGTGGAAGCTGCCAAGAAAAAGCACGAGGCCATCGAGACTGACACGGCTGCCTATGAGGAGCGGGTGCGGGCCCTGGAAGACCTGGCCCAGGAGCTGGAGAAGGAGAATTACCATGACCAGAAGCGCATCATGGCCCGCAAGGACAACATCCTGCGGTTATGGAACTACCTGCAGGAGCTGCTGCGGTCCCGACGCCAGAGGCTCGAGACCACCCTGGCACTCCAGAAGCTCTTCCAGGACATGCTACACAGCATCGACTGGATGGACGAGATCAAGGTGGGTCCCGGGCAAGTCTTTCCCTTGTGCCCCACAATGTTCACCTTGGACCTCAGGAAGGTCAATCACATCCCCGAGCCAAAATGGAGAAACTGAGGCAGCCCACTGTCTGGCTGCATCTGCCTGTCTGTGCCTTGGCTCACTGTGCACCTACCAGGCACATGCCAGCCCAGGTCCCCAGAATCCTTGGTAACCAAAAAAATTTGGATTCAGCACAGGTGCCAACCTGCAGGGCCTAGAAGCAGCAGACATTACTCACAAGTCTGGAGAATCAGACTCCAAGCAATTATCATCCAGACCTCCCAGCATGGGGGCAACCAAAGAAATCTACATTCTTCTCTCCCTCTTTTGCAGCAGGTCTTAGCTGAGGACACCCACCAGACTAACCATAGCACTTTCTGAGAATACACATATCCAGGCCTCAAATGTTGAGACAGAACTGGATGAGTATGGAACTTGGGCTTCTGTAAGACATCCGTGGATGGTTCTGATAGGCTACCCTAGTAAGAACCCCTACTCTGTAGCTTCTCCCATCCTGAGTGGCAGCCATTTTCCAGCTGCATCCAACTCGCTGTGGCTCAGATAGCATGGACACGCCCCTTGGATGGTCTCTTCACTTCTCCTCACTCCCTATATCATGTCCTCTTTTCCAGGCTCACCTCTTATCTGCAGAGTTTGGGAAGCACTTGTTGGAGGTCGAGGACTTGCTACAGAAGCACAAGTTGATGGAAGCTGATATTGCCATCCAAGGGGACAAAGTGAAGGCCATCACTGCAGCCACCCTGCGGTTCACTGAGGGGAAAGGTGAGGCCAGGGCGTCTCCTCTGCTGAGGCTTCTAATGGCAGAGCTCCATTCTCTGTCCAGCACCTCACCTTGGCTAAGTCTCCGGGCACTACTGTTAGACCTCTGCTTCTTTCATCAACCAATGGTGCAGGAAAGTTGAGGGCTAGCAAAACTCTCCAGAGAGCAGGCAACTGCTTTGGTAATCTGTAATGAGAAAGGCATTTGTGAGAACCAACAAGACATCATCCATCTTTCATTGTCTTTACTAGTTCACGTTATGGCTGAGACCATTCAAGTTTCTACTTCCTGGTCTAAAGTAGGCGAGTTTACTGCCTCCCTAAAGAATTAAAATTTGCATCTGGGTTTGTTTTTTGTTTTGTTTTGTTTTTTGTTTTGTTTTGTTTTCAAAAATAATTTCATGTGGTGCATTTCTGTTGAGAACTAATTCAACTTTTACTCTTCCAATTCTTGAAGTTCAGTGGAAACTAATTATATATAAAGAGCCTACCCTGCTCCCTGAGCACCTAGAACTCTCTACATTGAATCCCAAGGCCTAGTGAGATAACAGCTTCTAGATGGCAATTTCAGGTGGTTCTGACCTGCCAATTGATCAAAGCATGCCCATACATGAACACCATCCTTTTAGGTCATGGGAAATGTCATGACATATTTTCCTATGTTTTTAATGCAAAAATGCGTCATGACTTTTCCGATGACCCAATAGCTTTGTTCTCCTTCCACCTATCCCTCTCAGGGTACCAGCCTTGTGACCCCCAGGTCATCCAAGATCGTGTCAGTCACCTGGAGCAGTGCTTCGGGGAGCTGAGCAACATGGCAGCTGGGCGGAAGGCCCAACTGGAGCAGTCCAAGCGGCTCTGGAAGTTCTTCTGGGAGATGGATGAGGCTGAGAGCTGGATCAAAGAGAAGGAGCAGATCTACTCCTCCCTGGACTACGGCAAAGACCTGACCAGTGTGCTCATCTTGCAGCGCAAACACAAGGCCTTTGAGGACGAGCTCCGGGGGCTGGACACCCACCTGGAGCAGATCTTCCAGGAGGCTGAGGGCATGGTTGCACGCAAGCAGTTTGGGCACCCGCAGATCGAGGCCCGCATCAAGGAGGTGTCAGCCCAGTGGGACCAACTGAAGGAACTGGCTGCTTTCCGCAAGAAGAACCTTCAGGATGCTGAGAATTTCTTCCAGTTCCAGGGTGATGCAGATGATCTGAAGTCCTGGCTACAAAATGCCTACCAGCTCCTCTCGGGTGAAGATATGGGGCAAGATGAAGGGGCCACTCGGGCCCTGGGGAAAAAGCACAAGGACTTCATGGAAGAGCTGGAGGAGAGCCGTGGGGTGATGGAGCACTTGGAACAGCAGGCCCAGGGCTTCCCCCAAGAGTTTCGGGACTCTCCAGATGTGACTAATCGACTGCAGGCCCTCCGAGAGCTCTACCAGAAGGTGGTGGCACAGGCAGATCTGCGGCAACAGAGGCTACAGGATGCCCTGGACCTGTATACAGTGTTTGGAGAGACAGATGCCTGTGAACTGTGGATGGGCGAGAAGGAGAAGTGGCTGACCCAGATGAAAACCCCAGATACCCTGGAGGACCTGGAGGTTGTGCAGCACAGGTCAGAGCCCAGTCATCTTTTCCTCACCTCCTCTCACCAAGGCCAGTCCACCTCCTCCCTTGTTTGGTAATAACTTGAAGGTCAGGAAGGTCTTTGAGAGGCCACAGGATGCCCGCGGTTGCAAAGTCCAGGCATTGGAGTCAAGAGTTCTGTTCTGGCTCTGTAGCCTTAACCCATTGGGCCCTCGGGTTTTTCAAACCAAGGGGATTTTTCAGTCAAGTTACTCAGTTACTTCTCAGCTACAGCAGCCTTTGCTCAAGTGAATTATGTGGAACCCTATGTAACACAGAGGACAAGTAAAACTGCTCTGAATCAGGGGTCTGAGAGGCTGGGCCCCACCAGCTCTTGCTTTCTGAGGCAGTCCCTTAGGCCCCAGAACTCCAAGGGGCCACAGAGACCAGTTGATAAACCACCAGTCTGCAAGAGTGCTCTCACTTCCGGTCCATCAGCAGCACAGGTGGGGAGGTTTGCCGTGGTTGGTGCAGCGAACCAGCAGCCTGAGCACAGAATCCAGGGGGTCGAGGAAGAAGAGAGGCTATTCACTGAGCAGTGCCCAGGTAGCACCTCCTGATGCTGGAGCATCCTGGGCTCTTACTCCAGCAGAGTGGGCCTCCATAACCACAAGCCCTCCTCCCCCGGAAGCTTCCTTGTGCTACTCAGGGGAGCGCCTGACTGAGGAGGGGATCCTTTGGGCCAAGGGATCAGGGCAGTGGAATCACAGTCTAAGAGTACAGCCGAGGTGAGGCAGGTGGTCCCTGTGGCGATTCACACATACACACACACACCCCACATGCACCGTAACCTCTTTCCAGCCTTTCCTCCCCCTCTCCAGCTTTCTCTAAGCCTGGTCCAAGAAATGCTAGACTGTGAAATTGGACCCATGAACCAGGAAGCCAGGTGTACCGGCACATCTGTCTCCTTCTTCCCCCTCACCTGGACAAATGGGTCAAGGAGGTAGAAGGAGAAAGCAAGAGCCACATGTTGGGGAGGCCTGGGGGTTGCTGGAGATGAAGTGTCTGGCGCCACCTCACCAAGACTCATTCTCCTCTGTTCATACCAGGTTTGATATCCTGGACCAGGAGATGAAGACTCTGATGGCTCAAATTGATGGCGTGAACCTCGCTGCCAACAACCTGGTAGAGAGTGGCCATCCACGCAGTGGAGAAGTGAAGAAGTATCAGGACCACCTGAACACCAGGTGGGGTGTGGGGGGTGCTGGGGACTGGGAGTGCTTTCTCCCAACACCTGGCACAATCGTGAGGGTGTGGCCTGGAGTTGGGCCACCTGCAGTGCACCGCACACTTGTCCCCACGTGCTCCTGTCTACCTTAGCCAGATTCCTGCCTAGCACCGGAGCTGCAACAGCAAGGAGAAGGACTTGCGTGGTGACCAGCAGGTCGGACAGCTCGGAAAGGGAGATGAAGGTGTTCGTGGAGCTTTGAATGCTCTGCCAGGGGAGGAGGGGGCGCACGTGCCCGTGATGGAGGGGGCAGTCTGTGTGTGCCTGTAGCTATTGTAAAATCAGGCCATATGATATGCATGCCATATTTCCCCGGACACACTTGGGTAGGGAAAATTGTTTTCTGAGAGCTCTTAAGTACTGTCCATAAAAGAATGCTTCTGCCTGTGCCAAAATGCAGCATCAATAACAAGGCTGGCTTGAATGACGAAGGGGATTAGCAGGAAGCCTTGAGCGAGCTTCCTGGCTGGAACAAATAACAGACCCTGAGGAGCCTTTGGGGGAGACGGGGGTGCTTTCAGGCACATTGTAATTGCCCTTTAGTTCTTGGAGGATATTTGAGGACAGAGCAAATGCTGTGTTCTCTGTTTTTACCCTGATCCCTGCACATGCAGTGCCACATGCTCACCACCTCCCCGGTACCCCAGAGCCTTCCCCACACTTGTGCCTGAGCCTTGCTCTGCCTGAGGCCATCTGGGAGGGGAGCTGAGGGAAGACCCAGTTGTAAAGGGAAAGACGCACAGTGAAGACTCCGCTGGGAGCTTAGGGGAGGCAGGGGTGACCGCTAGAAGGAGGCCAATTATCTCAGTATCTAAAGATGGAGACTGGTGTTCAGGCAGAGGAGGAGGCTGCTCTGACTTCTTCTTTAGACCTGTGGGTAGTGGGTGTGTGTGGGAGCAAGAAAGACATCAAAAGATTATTACAATTTCTGTGTAGTTGAGGAAACTAGACAAGACCAAACCAGAGAAACTTCCCGACAGAAAGAACTTGTCAGCTATGTAGTGATCTGTAGTCAGAGAATTTCAAGACCCCCCTAAGCCGTGCTCCATCCCAAGCAAAATACTGTGTTGAAAAAAAAAGACACATTTTATCATAAAAACACAAAGAGCAATACATCACGACTTTTTCAACAACCCAGTACATCCAGGTACCTGCCGTCCTCAGGCGAGAGAACACCTGAGGTAAGAAACGCTAAGATGGTTTCCCATTCAATCTGAGAGTTGGAAGGGATCTGAGGCATCATCTGATCTAGCCATGTACCCAGACAGCCTGTGCCTCTGTACAGATGCTTCCGGGGCTGGGGAGCTCCCTCCCTCACCATGTAGCCCACCCCATTTGGGGGTAACTCATTTTGCTAGAAAGTTTGATCTCAGGTTGAGTGGCAGGCTGCCTTCTTGAATCTGTCCTCATTGACTCTGGCTCTCCCTTAAGAGATAGCAACACTTACCAGGATTCCTCCTCCTCGTGTAGCCCTCCAAATGTTTTTTCCGATAACTGTCAGTCTACACCTCCACCCCTAGTCCTGCCTCAGCGACTCTGCTGGGCTCTCTGCCCGAGTGCATTTTTCTCCATCTATTGGGTCATCCGAAAAGGCATGATGCATTTTTACATAGAAAAATATGACACGACTTTTTTTTCTTTTTTTGGAGAGGTTTGGGGTTTATTTTGTTTTTTTTGTTTGTTTGTTTGTCTGTTTTGCTATAGGATGGGTGCGCTCACCAGACAGAGAGAGACATAGAGACAGAAAGCGAGAAGTCACCGCCCAGGGGGGACGGCCACACCACAATCCCTTCTCCTCCATTCTCCTCTCGGGATCCTGGGCACGCACGCACACACGCCCGCCGTGAATTTTAAGCCACTGGGTCCGGGATGTGAACCGCGGTCGACTACGTGGGAGTCCAGCGACATAGCCATTACGCTAACTGCTGGTCTCATGACTTTTTGAACGACCCAATGCATGTTCTAAATCTTTTCCACCCTTTAGGACAATCCAAGTTCACCTTCTCCCTAGTTTCCCAGAGGAAAAATGATCTTTCCCTTCTTTGTCCTGGCTTGAGCTTCACATCCGAGCTTGTATTTTGATGACTTGTTTCGAAGGACTTTCCTACGAGACTCTAAGCAAATGAAAAGCAGAACCTCTATATATTGTCTTCAAAGCTTTGCGCACCAAGTGTGCTCTTGTCTGAGGTCCACTCTGGAATATTTTTTCCCCAGATACTTGCTTGGTTTGTTCCCTTCTTTATTCAGGTCTGAGCTGACCTGTCGGCTTTTTGGAGAGGCCCGCATTGGCCACCCCAATGGAAGCAGTGCATTTCTCCCTCAGCTTGCTTTGCTTTTCCCTTGCATTTTTCACCCCTGATGAATGAGAGCAAAGTGTTCACTCAGTTCTCTGCTGTCTCTAGTGCCTAGGCCAGTGCCGGCACACTCACAGGAGAGTTCTGTGACAAATGCCTAGTGAGTGATTGAACAGGGCAACACCGACGTTTTCCTGCCAAGCTCGGTACATCTGAGCCATTCAGACACTTGCTGAATGCATGATCATCTTTCACGAGATGTGTGCCAGTTTGCCAGCATTTTTCTAAAAATCTCGGGCCCAAGACCAAACCCGGATTCCTGACATTGTCTGACCAGTGCTAACCAGAGTGACTCTGTCCACCCCTCCATGGTAGAGATGCACAGTGTCAAGGAAAAGTAGGTTCGGGAGGCAGAGTAGGCCCAAAATGCAGCCTGTGCTCCTGCATGGCCACCCCTTGGGATGGCAGTAAAGCCACAGGGGAAAGGCCTGGAAAATCACCGTGAGGGCTCTTACTGGGGACACAGAGACACCTCACTTTCAATTCACAGTGGTTTCAGACCAATTTAGAAAACAAGATCGGGTCCTTCTCCTGAGTTCCCAGCCTCACAGCTCTGTCTGTGCCAGGCACAGAATTCCTCAGCGCTCGGGGACTTCACTGTGTAAGAGGAAACCGAGTGGTTCTCTCCTCTCTCTCATGGTACTCCCACCCCTCCCGGCCCATCCCTGCTCCTCGGTGCAGACTTGCTTTTCAAACCAGCTAGGGCTATCGTCACACCTGGGAATGTCCACGTGGCACTCTGACCAGTCCATTTGCTTAGCCCCTCGAGCTCCGTCCCCTGGGGCAAGGGATATTGGGATGGAGGAGACACTCAGGATCTCTTCCTTAAATAGATCACTCTAGTGGAGGCACGGGAGAGATCTCAGTATCTCAGATCCTTAAGATACTGCTCCAGTGGCTTCTATGAAACCTGCCACCGTCACCAGCTGTGCTATGTACATGGTCCTTTTGCTACAGTTACTCTGTAGGCTTGTCTTCGTCTCTCTCCCAGTCACACACACCGCAGGGCAAGGTCTGGTAATGTCTGTATTGTCCCCAGATCTAACATAATGCCTTAGACCCTTGTGGGTACTCAGGAAAGATGAGTTCAATTAGTGCATGAACCTCAGCAACTCTCGTGTACTTATGTATTACGATGATGCAGAATGAGTCAACTTGGGTCCAGGGGTGTCTCTGATGGTCTGGTCCAGCTAATGGGCAACTCTTTCAAAGAGGCATATTGTGTGCTATGGACCAACCCCAGGGCCCCAGGACATCTGCCAGGTCAAGGCACCTTTCCCCATTGGTAACACTGTACTTAAGGTGATGTGGCCCATTTTCATTATAATCCCTGCTTCTTCCTCCCTCTCCTTCTCCTCTTCCTCTTTGTCACCAGGCAGCTTTTTTATAGACTCAAGATGATTTGGGGTTTTTGTTTGGAGGCCCAGGGACACTTTGAACGTGACCTTGGGCATTTGCCTGGTTCCTCTAGGGCAGCAGGGGCCCCAGTGTCCTGAAGCATTCTTGAAGTTAGCAATGTGAGCTTTCTAATTATTTCCAATGGCTCAGAAACTCTGGGGAAAGGGTATATTTGCCTGAAACGCAGCTCCAGGAAGAGCCTTTCCTCTCATGTCCCTGTACTTATGGTTGGAGTCACATCGCCGCTTGCCTCCTGCTGATTTAAAGATCTGATTCGTGTCCCTTTACTTGTGGTTGGAGTCACATTGCCGCTTGCCTCCTGCTGATTTAAAGATCTGAAGGACAGTTATATATGTCTTGGGTAAGACAGGATGAATGAATTTTGCTCGTCCACGGTTTGTAGGTAGATCTTTTTTTCTTTCTTTTTTTTTTTTTTTAGTTTGTAGGTAGATATTTTTTTCTTTTTTTTTTTTTTTTTTTTCTTTTTTAACATACAAGCTCTGTGGGATGAGACTCATGGGAATCTGGGAAGAGATGCCCTGTGCGAAGAGTTCAGGAATAAAGTGTCTCTGTTTTCCTGGGCTGTGTCCTTGCCCTGGCAGGTGGCAGGCATTCCAGGCCATGGTGTTAGAGAAGCGGGAGGCAGTGGACTCGGCCCTCCGGGTGCACAACTACTGCGTGGACTGCGAGGAGACCAGCAAGTGGATCCTGGACAAGACGAAGGTAGTGGAGTCTACAAAGGACCTGGGGCGGGACCTGGCAGGTGTCATTGCCATCCAGCGGAAGTTGTCAGGGCTGGAGCGCGACGTGGCTGCCATCCAGGCCCGTGTGGGTTCCCTGGAGCGAGAGTCGCAGCGGCTGATGGAGTCACATCCCGAGCTGAAGGAGGTCATTGGCCAGCGGCAGGCGTACGTGGAGGAGCTGTGGCAGGGTCTACAGCAAGCCCTGAAGGGCCAGGAGGCCTCCCTGGGGGAAGCCAGCCAGCTGCAGGCCTTCCTGCAGGATCTGGATGACTTCCAGGCCTGGCTTTCCATGGCCCAGAAGGCCGTGGCCTCTGAGGACACACCCGAGTCGCTCCCAGAGGCGGAGCAGCTTCTGCAGCAGCACGCAGACATCAAGGATGAGATTGACAAGCACCAGGAGAGCTTCCGGCACGTCAAGGAGTCTGGGGAGAAGGTGATCCAAGACCAGACGGACCCCGAGTACCTGCTTCTGGGCCAGCGGCTGGAGGGCCTGGATACCGGCTGGGACGCCCTGTGCCGCATGTGGGAGAGCCGTGGCCACTCCCTCGCCCAGTGCCGCGGCTTCCAGGAGTTCCAGAAAGATGCCAAGCAGGCTGAAGCCATCCTCAGCAACCAGGTAGAGAGGTCTCCAGGGCTGGGGGCAGGAGAGGGTGTCTCAGGATGGCACAGTGGAGAGTCTACAGATGTGCTGTGAGGCCCAGGGACCAAAGTACACTTTTCTTGGACTCTCTGTAGCAACTAATGGGGGTGTGAGGAGAGTCCTCTTTGTTCCCCATCATGTGCCTTTTCCAGCCCTGCGTTAGTCAGACACTGGAGGAGTAAATTCACCTTGGGTTTAGGTACACTGTTCACCGGGGCCCCTGGGTTGGGGACAGGTGTGGGGCAGGGCCTAGAAAGTAGAGCCTCCTCCTTGGGCCTGTCTAGCTGCACGTGGCACCTGGGCACCTGCCCTCACCACCTCCTCAGCTTGTCCTCATGCTTCGTCTGGAAACCTGCTCCCACAGGAATATACTCTGACTCACTTGGAGCCCCCAAACTCCCTGGAAGCTGCAGAGGCTGGAATCCGGAAGTTTGAGGACTTCTTGGTGTCTATGGAGAATAACCAGGATAAGGTCTTGAGTCCTGTGGACTTTGGAAACAAGCTGGTAGCCGAGGGAAACCTGTACTCAGACAAGATCAAGGAGAAGGTGCAGCTGATTGAGGACAGGTACTCCCCACCCCCGGGGCTATGGGGCCTGGAGCCACAGAGGGGCTGGGGAGCCAGGCAAGGACCCAGACCTGGCACTGTTAGGACTTGGCTTTGGCTTCCCTTCCAGGCACAGGAAGAACAACAAGACGGCCCAGGACATCTCAGTCCTTCTGAGGGACAACCTTGAGCTCCAGAACTTCCTCCAGAACTGCGAGGAGGTGAGGCTCCAGCGAGGCAGGGCCCACCTCTCGGGAGAGTCCTTTCTAGGAGCAGAGCGCCCTGGAGGTGAAAGTCTGGAGTGCCCTTTCTAACTGCAGAGTTGTGGGATTCCACAAGAGGGAAACTCTGGGTCCTTGGTGGCTTAGGTCATCTTCTAGATGCTTTGATTCCTCAGGGGTTTTTTTGTTTTATATTTTTTGTTTTTGTGGAATCTGTACAGTCATCCTTAAATCTGCCAAATCTCGAGCAGAGTTTTTTGCAGGCGGGAGAAGCACCTATACCAGAATCATCAGGGCCCTGGTCAGTGTGGCTCCTCGGCAGGTGTGCAGCCTGCACATTCATTTGCTCTGAACAAGGGCTCTGAACTTGGTGAAATGCTCCCCTGTTGCCATCTTGAAATCCTTTTTTATTTTTTTTTTTTTTTGAGAGGTTTTTGCTATAGGACACATGCGCTTGCCAGAAGGAGAGAGACAGAGAGACAGAAAGCGAGAAATCACCCCCCTAGAAGGGATAGCCATGCCACAATCCCTTCTCCTCCATTCTCCTCTCGGGATCTTAGGCACATACGCACACATACCCGGCATGAGTTTAAACCACTGGGTTGGGACTTGAACTGCGGTTAACTACATGGGAGTCCAGCAACGTAGCCATTACGTCATTTTCTGGTCCCACCATCCTGAAATTCTCAATACTTTTTGTTTTGGTAGAGATTTATTTTTTGCCTTAGAGTGCATATGCTCACCAGAGAGAGAAAGAGACAGTGAGCGGGAAAGTGAGAAATCACCCTCCTAGGGGGATGGCCATGCCACATCCCTTCCTCTCCATTCTCCTCCCAGGATCACGGGTACGTACGCACGCACACATGCCCAGTGTGAGTTTCAAGCCACTAGGTCCAGGACTCAAACTGCAGTTGGCCATGTGGGAGTCCAATGACTTAACTGCTTTGCCATGTGCTGGTCTTGAAATTCTTAATACTTTAATGTGCCCTTTCGGCTCACTCCATTGATGATACTTCTAGTGTGGCATACGGTTTTCCCTCATGTCTTCCTTGTTCTCATCTTTGTAATTCTTTTCTCTCAACCCAGACAACTTTGTTTTTATCTACCTCTGCCCTTGGCACAAACCAGGCTTGGCATGGTGCCAGGACATCTTGAAAATACTGAACTCACCACAATTTCCCCCTCACTGTTAATTATACAATCTGCCCCTGGCTTCTTCCTCAGATAACATTTTTTTTGTGTGTTTATTAATGATTCTTCATCATACTGCCAAAGAATGGATTTATCCAGCCATCCAATAAACACACATCGGGTTTCTACAATGTACCAGATCCTGTCCTGGGTCCTAGGGCCATGTAGGACAGGCATCCCTGTACAAAGCATCCCTGGTCTCATACTGCACATATTCTACCCCATAGGGGTGACACACCTGAGCCCACATTTTAGTCCTGCCATGACACAGGTTAAGTTGCCTGTGCTGGGACTTAGACATCCAGAATTAGAGATTGGTTCTCTTTCTTGCTCATCCTTTCCGCCTCGACCAACTCCTTCTGCAGCCATGGCTGGGCAGCAGGTCCCACACTGCCAAAGAGACACCCTCACAGACAGGTGGGCTCACTCTCTCTGCCCACAGCTTACTCTCTGGATCAATGAAAAGCTGCTGACATCTCAAGATGTCTCCTACGATGAAGCACGAAACCTTCACAACAAGTGGCTGAAGCACCAGGCATTTATGGCTGAGCTGGCTTCCCACCAAGGATGGCTTGAGAACATCGATGCGGTAGGTAAAGTCAGTGGGCAGCAGGAGCTCCCTGCTCAGGTACCCAGCCGAATGGGCTTCCCAGGGCACGCTGGCCTGTGGTTGGCTGATGGATAGAACCTGGTAGTGAAAAAGCTTCTCTGCGTGGTGATTAAACCTTCAGCACCCATGATACAGCCAGTCTTACTCAGCCTGGTTGGAACGGCTGCCTCTTCTGGGTCACTTGGGTCTGAGGACAGTCCAGGACACTGAGGATACGGAGTGAGAGCTTCAGTGTCCAGTGTCAGCACTGCAGTTATCTGTTACCTCTGTTTTCCACTGTCCTCACCAGAGCTCCAGTACTGCCCTGCCCAGGATCTGGGCACACCTGAAGTGACCAGAGTGGTCCAGAGAAAAGATTAAGCCTCACAGCCTAGATGGGCAGAACCCATTAGACAAAGAACAAAGGGACCCCCATAGTGAGCTTGCCCCAGGGCACAAGTCAAAACATGGCTGGGGTTAGATCTGGGAACCACATACCTGTGTGCCTTCCTGCTGTGGCTGTCCACAAAGAAGCAGGCCTAGAATCTACACGGCACTTCAGGCAAAGCCACATGGTGGTTAAGGGTGTAACCACTGGACCCAGGCTGGCTCCCTAACTTCTCTGTAACTTCTTCAGCTATGAACTGAGCATAATAATAGTACTACCTGATGGAGTCATGAGCACTAAACACAGACAAATAAAGCACTTCGACTAGTGCTTGGCAACTAGGAGGCACTCAGTAAAAACGGCCTAGTATTGGTACAGTGGTATGTCTTCCTAGGCCCAAGTCATGTCCCACTTTCACCTCCAAAAAGGCACCTTGCACAGGTGAAAACCAGGCCAGGTTAGCATGCTGGCTGTACCTGCATGGATGTCTAACCTTTTTCTTTTGTGAGTACCAGCTGGCCCTTGTCTGCAGCTCCCCAGTATAGAGTCTCCCCTAGACATGTGCCTTCTCTCTGCCCCGCCTTCCCCTACAGTAACTCTGGGGGTTCTGAGTCTATTTCCGGCAAGCCTCATTCACTTTCTATGACTGAATCGTCTTATCGACCTCTCTATACTCCTGGGTAGCCCCTGCGAAAGAAGGGCTGCCCCAGGGCTTCAGAAGGTGATCGCTCCTTTTTCCCCCACAGGAGGGAAAGCTACTAATGGAGGAGAAACCCCAGTTTACAGACCGGGTGTCCCCGAAGCTAGAAGCCTTGCACCGCCTCTGGGATGAGCTGCAGGCCACCACGAAGGAGAAGGCCCAGCAACTCTCGGCCGCCAGGAGCTCTGACCTGCGCTCGCAGACCCACGCCGACCTCAATAAGTGGATCAGCGCCATGCAGGAGCAGCTGCGGTCAGATGACCCGGGCAAGGACCTTACCAGTGTCAACCGGATGTTAGCTAAACTGAAGGCATGTGAGCGGGTTGTAAGCTTACAGCCCTGAATAGAAGGGGTCTTGGGATGCAGGTCTGAAACCTTCTGTACCCCTTCCGTTCTTAGCTGGATTAGCTTTTATCATGCAAAAATGTCACCTGGCTCATAATTCCTTACCTACCCCTTTTGCAGTGGGGTAGGAGAGGGCAGGCCAGGGACCCAAATGGGCTAATAAAAAAGATGCATAAAAATATAGGGCAGGCATTCAGAGGAGGGCAGGTGAATGGGGGCCTCCAGGGAGACTTCTTGGAGGAGGCTGAGCTCCACTGGTCCTCAGAGGATAGGCAAGACATGAATGAGTGACGAGAGGGAGGGGCTGCCTGGCGCAAGGCTGGTGCCAACACTGGGCCCTTGTGTCTCAGCGAGTGGAGGACCAAGTGAATGTGCGGAAGGCGGAGCTGGAGGAGCTGTTTGACCAGGTGCCCTTGTTGGGAGAGGAGGCAGGAGACGCAGACTTGAGCATCGAGAAGCGGTTCCTGGACCTGCTGGAGCCACTGGGGAGGAGGAAGAAGCAGCTGGAATCATCCAAAGCCAAGCTGCAGATCGGCCGGGACTTAGAGGATGAGACGGTGCGTGGGTGTCAGCCTCTCCCCACCCCCAAGGCCCAGCGGCCAGCTGCCATCAGGATAGCTGGCTGCCATCCAGAGCCATTCTTGGCAGGTGACTGGCCATCTCCCTGCCTTTTCTCTCAGAGCTGCTGTGATCATTACATGACACAGAAAAGCCACGCCAGTGCTTTTCGAATTTTAGCTCGCTGGGCTTGCTGGGACTGATGGTGAAGAGCATGGGCGTCGGGCTCAGACAGGCTTGGGCTGGAGGTCCAGCTGCATTACCTTCCCACTGTGTTCCCAGAGCAGGTTACTTGGATAACTCATAAAACCAAAATATTCCCATCTGTAAAATGGAGACAGAACCCTAATGGGTATTGGGAGGAACCAGGAGACAGCCAGCAAAGCTCTGTCAGGCCTGTGGTGAGTGCTCGGGAAGGCATGGCCATGATTGTCACCAATTGTCCCCTGCCTTCTGGTCTCTGCAGCTCTGGGTGGAGGAGAGGCTGCCTCTGGCCCAGTCGGCTGACTACGGCTCCAATCTGCAAACCGTGCAGCTGTTTATGAAGAAGAACCAGGTGGGTGCTGCCTTGCCTTGCCAGCCCTGTGGCAGAGAGAGCAGGCTTCAGTGGTTCCAGAGAGAATTCTAGGAAAACCATGGAGGAGGGGGAGAATCCCAGGGTTAGGGGGCGTGGGGCCATTCAGACTCCATCAGGCGCCAGTGAGTGCAGGGCCCTGGCAAACCAGCCCTGGAACTTAGTGTGCTTGAGAGCTTTGTATTCAGTGGCCTCCCAAGAGGAGCCAATGTTAGCAGGTTTGCTGGTGTGAGAAAACACCTCCTCTGTGGCCTCCTGGTTTCTCTCCACAGCACTCCTGCACCTCTTCCAGGGCTATCTGTGGCATGTGTGAACTGAAGATATGGAGGCCCCATTTCACTGGCCATATGAGAGTGCCTGTAGGGTTCAAGCTCCATTAGGAAGCCCCTGAACTTGGACTCTGAGCCCTTGGAGCAAACACCCGTCTGCTGTTGGGCTTTCTCTTAGGGAACTGCTGTGGCTGTGGTCAGAATCCTGGGCATGAGCACACGCTACAGCTTCCTGTAGAGACAAGGCTGCAGACAGAGCCCACCTTCCCACAGAAGCCACCGTGTCAGGCCACAGGGCTTCATATCCAGCCAGGGCGGCTGCTGACCCTCCTCTTGAGCAGAAGGTCCCTCCTACTATCTGGTCTGCTTACTGGGTCAGCAAGGAGACCTGAGAACCGAGATCTCAGAGAAGAACAACAGCCTTAGGCCGCCACATTGGTATTGAAGCCCCTTGGGGAAGAAAGGTTGTGGCAGACAGACAGCACTTCTGTCCCCCAGATAAGAGCAGCTGGCACCTGCTCACGGGACCTTTTGAGCCCAGCGCCTGTGCCAAGACCTCAGATATACTCAAAGAGGTTTCTTTAAAGCTCCCTTGGGTCCTCTGCATCCAGTTGACATGATCTCATCACAGAGGCTTCCATGGCCACGTGCAGGGATCTGGGCTAGAAGACGATAAAGAATCGTGCCCAGTGTCCAGAATTATAAAATGAAAGGCTCAGTCTCTCCAACAGTGCGGACTTGTGATCCTCTCTACCCCCCAGTCAGTTGGATTACCCACAGGTTTTCAGTTTTCCTGGCTGGAGGTTGCTGTTTCAAGAAAAACCAGGACAAGTATGAATTGTGTTCCCTTAGCCAAGGAGGGAAAAACAACCTTTTAGGAGAGTGAGGCTGTCCTGGTAAAGACTATTTGAACCACCCTGCGTAAAGCATAAATCCAGTGTCACCATTTCCTCAGTTAGGCCTTCTGTGATAGAGCTCCTTAAACTCCAGCTTGCGTCAGACTTACCCCGAGGGCTTCTTGGAACGAGATGACCAGGCTCCTCCCCAGATCCACTGACTCAGTCTCTGGGTGTGGAGCCTGATAATCTGCATTTCTAATAAGATGCTAGCTGACCTTGGGACCAGCAGTTAGCGTAATGGCTATGTCACATGGACTCCCACGTAGTCGATCGCAGTTTGAGTCCCAGACCCGGTGACTTGAAACTCACGCCGGGCTTGTGTGCATGCGTGCCCAAGATCCCGAGAGGAGAATGGAGGAGAAGGGATTGCGGTATGGCCATCCACCCGGGGGTGGGGGTGGGGTGGTGGGTGGTGAGTGGTGATTTCTCGCTTGCTGTCTCTTCTGCCTCTCTCTGTCTGTCTGGCAAGCGCATGCGCCCTTATAGCTGAAAAACAAAAACAAAAACAAAAAAAATCTCAAAAAAAAAAAAAAAAAAGACGCCAGGTGATCCTGATGCTGTGGGATTCCACTTTGAGAACAACTGGTCTAGTAGCTATGGATTGTAATTAGAACAAATCCTGCCGGGGCTACATGAAGGGTCACCTCCAGATGCATGTTAAAATCACCTGGGATGGGACCAGTAGGTGGCATAATGGTTAAGGTGCTAGATTCCAACATGAGATCACAGTTCAAGTCCTGAACCTGGTGGCTTTCTCTCTCTGTCTCTCTCTCTGGTGAGCACGTATGCCCTATTACAAATTAAATAATGGAAATGATGATTTAAAAAATAATTATTTTTTTTAAAATTATCTGGGAAATTTTGTAAGCATTCAGGAATGATGATTAAAAAAATAATTATTTTTTAAAAAATTATCTGGGAAATTTTGTAAGCATTCAGATGCCCAGGTCCTACTTCAGATGAACTCCTTAGGCTCTCTGGGGGTCGGACCCTAACTGTGTCCATTTTCCAGATTAGTTCATGTGCAGTCTGGGCAAAGAACCACTGCCTTGCCCGGCACGGCCTGCATCTAAATCAGACCATTCTCAGCCTCCTCCGCAGTATCGCGGCCCTTCTGGCCCTCCCTCTGGCCTTGGACAGTCCGGCCTTGTCTCTACCCCGGGGCCTTCGCATTTGCTTTTCCCTCTTTCCAGGAACACTTATCCCCAGATCACTGTGGCTGGTTCCCTCTCATCATTCAGGTCTCACACGAATGTCATCTCCTCAGGAGGCCGCTGACACCCCCAGTGAAAGTAGCCACCACCACACCTCTGCCAGCCTTCTTCGGCCCATGATGTTTTCTTTATAGCACCCAAGAGCAGGCCCAGGCTTCACGCAGTCACTTATTACATGCTCATCCTCTACTAGACGCTAAACTTTATCGGGCAAGGGTTTGCTTATCTCGCTCCTATATTGTCCCTAGTACCGAGAACAGGGTCTGGTACATAGAAAAGACTTCAGTAAATTATTGAATGAATGAAGACAGGGAAGAAGACATCATAGATAAGCACCCTGCGCAGGAGATAGAGAAGGAGAGAGAAAGTCCTTTTTCAGGGGCCTTACAGAGGCCATACAGTCTCAGGTAAAGCAGAGGAAAATGGAGCTGACAGCATGGGTTGTCTGAGTACAATCGCAAATATCACAGGCAACTGTCAAAATCAGGTTTCTGAGCATAAAGTGCAAAAATGCATTTCGGCAGGATAGGACGTTGCTATTTCAACTGTATCTTACATGCTGGTGGGTCACTGTCCGGCCCATGTGGGCTGCTCTTCCGTGACTCTAGGTGGTTATAAAGGCCATGGGGAAATTGTAGAAAGGCAGGAAGTGAGATAACAGGGCACTTCAAAGTTTGTGGAAAAGTGGAATTAAATTACAAATTTATTTTGTTATAAACATTTTGAAATGCATAGCTTTTTCATAATATACATCTTCAATAAACTTTTTAAAGACCTCCCCTCCCCATATGAGGACCCCAAGAGCCCATGCATAATAAATAGCTAACTTTGGCCTCTGGGACCCAGAAAAATAAGTAACGTATGTTGGGGCCTCCTGAAGAAAAAGGTGACCCACCAGAGTGGAAGGAAAAGGTCATTTTGACTAAAGACTCAAATGGGAAATAATACAAGGCACATAAAAGATTTAAGAACTAGAAATGGGGAAAAACAAAACAAAACCCAAAACTCTGAACAAGGGGGCTACTGTCAGCCCTCCTTTTTATAGAGCGTGTGCTCAATTAGATGCCTAAAAGGTCATTTTGAAGTTGTTTTCTTTCCTTCAACCATACACCTAAGTAATCAAGCTCTGCTGGGGCTGGCAGGTGGCGTGGTGGTTAGGGCGCTGGACTCCCTCATGGGAGAGCACGGTTCAAAGCCCAGACCTGGTGGCTTGCTTTCTCACTTTCTTTCTTTCTCTGTCTGTCTCTCTCACTCTATCCCTCTCTGTTCAAATTAAACAAATAATGGATAAATAAACTTAAATAAAAATGTTTTTAAAAAGAAGATATCAAGTTTTGCTGAAGCATAGCAGGTCCAATCTTCCAAGTGGGTTCCATTGGGTTCCATTCCCAGGTTTACCTATAGGCTGATCCACGCCCATGATACTAGCTGGCTGAGAAAGCAGGGCAGGGCAAGAATACTAGCATGAGAACTCTGTCGAGGTGCTTCTTTCTTTTCATTAAAGAAAGAAACTTTTAAAAAAGAAGGAAAGAACAGGAATAGTCAAGAACATAGGCTTTGGCATCAGGAGAGCTCTGTTCAAATCCCGGCTGTACCACTCACCGTCGACGAGTTCCCTCACTGCTGCGTGCGTTTCCGAGCGCCTGTCTCAGAAGGCTATCTAGGGGTTAAAATGAGTGAGACCAGCAAAAGGCTCAGCACCCTGCCCAGAGGTATCATTAGCAGTTGGCTTAGTCCCTGTCCTAGTGTTGTAACACAGTACCACAGACTGGGCAGTTTATGAAGAATAGAAATTATTTAACTCACGGTTCTGGAGGCTGGGAAGTCTAAGAACATGGCACTGGCATCTAGTAAGGTTTATTCCGTGATGACAGGGCAGAAGGTGGAAGCAAGCACCCAGAGTGAGAGGCCCGCTTTTATAACAACCCACTCCCAACAACCAACCCATTCCTGTGATAACCCGTTAATCCACTAATCCATTAATTCATTAGTCCGTGGATAGATTAGTCCACTCATGAGGCTGCTGCTCTCATGACCTAATCATTTCCTAAAGGCCCCACCTCTCAACACCGTTACACTGGGCACTGAGTGTCCACATGGGAATGTGGAGGGGACACATTCAGACCATGGCTTGTTCATGGCCATCACCTGCTGCGTTCTAGCAGGAGGGGGTGAGTGGCGTGGGGGCTGCCAGGCCCGATGCTGCCCACTACAGAAGTAGCTCCCCTACTTGGTGGGAAGACACTGCCCTGAGCTCTTCTCTATGGCTGCAGACGCTGCAAAACGAGATCCTGGGCCACGCGCCGCGGATCGAGGACGTGCTGCGGAGAGGGCAGCAGCTGGTGGAGGCAGCAGAGATCGACTGTGGAGACATCCAGGAGCGTCTGGGGCACCTGCAGGGCTCCTGGGACACACTGAGGGAGGCAGCGGCCGGGCGGCTGCAACGCCTGCGGGATGCCAACGAGGCGCAGCAGTACTACCTGGATGCCGGTGAGGCCGAGGCCTGGATCAGCGAGCAGGAGCTCTATGTCATCTCCGACGAGACCCCCAAGGTCTGCTTGGGCAGGGGCTGCCAGCCAGAGTGCCAAGGTGGAGAGGAAGAGCTGAGGGGCAGCCAGTAGGAGCCTTGTAAACCCAGATGCAGGAGGAGCAAGGGCAAGGGATGGTGTTTGAGCAACCCCCCGGGCCTCCCAAGAACACCCCCTTCAATGCACACAGGGCAGCCAGGTGCTGTTTGCCAGCTTCAATTTGCTCTGACCCAAGGGCTCTTCACTGTTTGCCGTGGACTCTGTCCTGGTAGACTCCTGGGGGAGGGGCTGAGAGGTGAGGTGAGCAGCCTCTCAAAGCTGGAATGATAGGGAACCAGCAGTTAGCGTAATGGCTATGTCGCTGGACTCCCATGTAGTCGACCGCGGTTCGCGTCCCGGGCCCGGTGGCTTAGAACTCACGCTGGGCACGTGTGCATGCATGCCCAAGATCCCGAGAGGAGAATGGAGGAGAAGGGATTGCGGTGTGACCATCCCCTCTGGGGGGTGATTTCTTGCTTTCTGTCTCTCTGTCTCTCTCTGTCTGTCTGGCGAGTGCACGTGCCCTATAGCAAAAAAATCTCTCCCCAAAAAAAGAAAAGCTGGAATGATAGAGGACATTTTTATGGGGACAGAGGTTGGACTTGAGCCTAGAAGGATGGGTAGATATTGGATAAGAATCAGGGGAGTTGAGAGAGAAAGGTGGGGTACAGTCTTGCTGGGAAACCAGGAAAGGAATGTGTGGCTCTCCCTGGCGTGTCCCAAAGCCTGGCTCTCCTCCCCCTTGGGCACTGCCAGGCGCTGGGCTGGATTGAGCCAGCTGAGGGAGCGCGGCCAGGCTGGGCCGTGGCGCTGACCGTCTGCCGCCTCCTAGGATGAAGAGGGTGCCATCGTGATGCTCAAGCGGCATCTGCGGCAGCAGCGCGCCGTGGAGGAATACGGGAGGAACATCAAGCAGCTGGCTGGCCGGGCCCAGGGCCTGCTGTCTGCAGGCCACCCCGAGGGGTGCGTGTTCTCCTAGGGAGATTTGGGAGTGGGCATCAGGCCAGGGCCCCACCAGCCAATATCCCTTCAGGTCTAAGTGGATGTGGGGATGGAAATCGTTTTCCCACAATAGAGAGGTTTGAAAAACTGCTTCTAGACGTTGATGAGTCCCATTCCATTTTATGCTTTGGTTTTGCATGAGTAACTTCAAACTAGGTCAACTAAGGCCTGCTTTGCAAAAAGATCAGAGAGAAGAATAGCTAAACGACCCTTCTGGTGAACTGAGAGCTCCAATTTTGCAAGGAGTTCAAATATCTTAAGAGACACTTTGGTCTAACTTTGCTTTTTTTTTTTTTTTTTTTTTTTTTAATTTGCTTTTCTGTTTATGGTTCAGAAGGTACTTAGGACCTCACAGTGTCTCAGTACATTTCATTGTATGGGAGTGCGGGTAGAAAACCCACAGTCCTCTGAACCATTGAGCCATGCGGATTCTGCATAAAGTGCAGTCCCCTGGGCCACACACCTCAGGCTGCCCCCAGCTGCGGCCCTGTCCTTAGCCGCCTTTAGGGTATCCCCTGC